CACAGAGGAAGAAGATATATCACACACAGTACTAGCAGGGTCAATGTATTGTTGCTTTTGGTCTGATTATTGACAGTGAGGTAATACTATTGTTAGCCTTTAAAAAGGATTGTTATATTAATCCCTCAAGGAATTGAAAGCAGATCCCAAATGTTTATTGCTCTAATTCAGTCAGTAAAAGTAACCTTTCACTGTTAAGGTGAAGCCACAATCCGAACGCTAGAGACTTTTTTCACATATTGAAAAACAAAGTTGCTCTTCAGCAGCCTACTGTCAAATCACTCATGTGAGAGGATAATTAAATGCAGTAAAAAGGAAGAGTAGGGACTTCTTTATCTCTCTGGAATAAATGTTTGCTGTGATGGATCTTAACAAAGAATCAAGTGCATGTGGGTTGATTTTCATTGTGCTGAAATAAACTGAAAATCTGCCAGAAAGTTAGGAAACCAATCAAAAACCACCAAACAGTTTGTAGTTAATGGAGGTAAAAACATGAAAAACCACAAGTATGATCCTTTAAAAGGTGTAATTCATGTAATTCTTTTTAAAAATCACCCTGTTGTCCCAGTGGGGGCACTACAGCACAAACTGTTTACTTCCTCCTACATACTTTATCTCCGTGTTGCATCTTGCTGTCTGCAGGTCCACAATGACCCGGCCTGCAGCTCTGCCCCTTACACCTGCCAACGATCTGTCAGCCTCTTCCTGCCATGGGAGGGTGAGGTTCGGCTGCACGCCACCAACGTGACCTTCAAAGGCCAAAGGTCAGCAGTGTAACACGGCAGAACATCTTCATGTACAAAATACGTTTATGTATTTATATTTCTGCTTTCGCTCTTTTAGGCATTATTTAGGATTTATTAGTCTATGTCTGCTTGCTCTCTATGTGTTATTGCGCATGAAGGGAATATGCTCTAAACGTTTATATATTTGTAGATATTTGTTGTAAGATTAATGCTTTATATGAGTCAATTTGAGCTCCTTGTAGAAGAGAAGGTGGTGTTTGTATCACGGTGTGTTCCCTGTCTCTGTATTCAGTTTGCAGTTGCCTCATCACATCCACGACCTGCAGCTGGAGCAGATCTCACAGTACGTTCTGGTGACGCAGCAGCACGGCTTCACGCTGGCCTGGGAGGGACACAGCGGCTCCGTCTACATCAAACTCAGCCCAGAGTTTGTGGGCAGAACCTGCGGACTGTGTGGGAACTTCAACGCCGACGTCCAGGACGACCTGAAGACGAGTTATGGTAAAGATCATTTAGTGTCAGCAGTAATGTCCAGGCTAGACGTCAGGGTTAAAATGATGTGGTAGCTACTTTGTTACAGGTGAAAGTGCATTGAAAATGTCACCTAAGTAAAAGTATGTACAGTATGTATAATCAGGAAAATGTGCTTCAAGTATAAAGAGCATAATAATGTCCTCTGTGACTGTTCTACTATTCGATATAATATTATTAGAATTTTATGAGTCATGCATTGATGTAAAAACAGGATTGCACTGTTTGGTTGAGGTAGAGCTCAGTTTCAGCTATTTTGTATTGGACTGCAACTA